CCCCCCAATTCCCAGTAAACAGGCCAGACCACATCACAGTAATCTCGTGAGTGGGTTCTTTAACGTCCCCTGCCTAACCAAATTAACTAATTAATAGATGCAGGAGACGGGACCTACGGTTTATTCGTCCTTATCCGAGAAGACTAGAATGTCCATCCATTTCTTGATATTATAGAAAGGTAGCGCATTCTCCTCAGTTATTTTAAGACCTTGAGTGTTGGTCCGGCCGGGGCTCGAACCATCGACCTCGACCTCCCGCACAACAGTCCTGCGCTCTAACCAACTGAGCTAACCGGGAGGCGAACAACATTACGTGTCAGGCTGTAGACATCATTATTCGAGGAGAAAAGGGCTATTTGCTTCGAGACAAGCACGCAAAGCGCGAAGGGCGAGTTGCGTGCGAGAGGCGGAGTACTCCTTCCTCGCGCGTGCCCGGGCCGCCTATCTCTGCTTGCCTGTCCCTGAGATAAAAAAGATATCATGAGGATGTACCCCTCGAATTGTAAAGTTTTATTCTGTTCTCAAAGGACTAGATCTATGCTTCAGTGCATAACCATCAAGGGCTTACAGAAAAACTTTTCTGGATTTCGATAGCCCGCCATATCCCGTTCGAATACCTGTTTAGAGAGCAAGGAAGCGTAGTCAATGTTATCTCCAATGTGTTTTCGATTTGTTTTGGGTTTTTGCCCCTCGATAAAGGAACTAACAAGCCTCTTCCTTAACCTACGCACACATAAGAATGATTTATGTGAGCTCCTTCTTGTTGAGTAACAAATATAGGCCTTACTAGTATACCTGAGAAAAAATGACCTGTTTGGGGAGAAAATCCAGGCTTCGCATAGTCATACATTGGTTCCTCACGGTAGTAACTTGAGAGGCAAAAAGAAAAAAAATTGATGCTGAGTTCATTCACTACCCCACTGAGAAAGCTGGAGTGAGGGAATCGTGAAGGAATGCATTGTTAAAGATACTTTATTTMTTAAGGTGTAGTCTGATCGTCCGGGTGAGTGTAGTCCTGAGAAGGACTGTTGTCGGTGGTAGTGACTGACGTTTCGACAACCTGTGCGGAAGTCATCATGTGAGTAAAGTGAATGATTGTTGTCAGTGGAATGTTCTTATTCCAGTTCGTGTGAAATGATCGGTTGGTTTTGCCGTGATGTTATTGGCTGTAAGACTCAGGTGACGTAAGTCGGTCGTGATTGGTCTGTTTCGATCTGTCGGTAAAGTTAGGTCGTTCTTTTTCGGTCGTTTGTNGCACTTAGGTAGCACGGAAAGCCGTAAAAATCTTGAACAAAAGCTCATCTTTCAAACCGGCAGTCTAAATCCCACAGGGATCAACGAACGCTTTTCATTCCACTAATTTATTCATGTTTTTCTCCCTGCCATGTTCCCACCAATAACATAGCTCCATTTTCTTCCTTTAAAAGCGCACACAACCCACAATTCCTCTATTCGCTCCGACGAAGGGCTAACGCTCGAAACGTCAGCTTTTGTAATCGTTACGGTGGCCACTTTACCATTTAAACTTTGTTGATATATCCAAATTATACTGTACTGTGGGGTTGCTTAGAAAAGCAAAGCCCAATTCGGGAAGTTATTTTCTTTTTAATTCAGATAAGACGCTTTCTTCTCGAAAACAGTTTCTTTGAAGTTAGTGCGACTTTGATGGAACTTTTCAAAGGAAGTTAAGGGTCAATGTTAAGTCTGATAAAAATTTTTCTAATTTCATTATTTGATCTTTGTAATATACTCACTTTGACCCTGATTGACCCACGTTTAAGAAGAGAAATCGAAGTTTAACTTTGACCTATTTTCAATAAAGTCACTATAAAAGTATTGTTTCGCACCTCATGTAGAGTCATGTCCAAATCTTTGCTTCTCGACTGCTTTACCATTTTCATTCGTGATTTACTTTGTGTTTAATCCAAAAGGAAATAGCATATCATTTATGGAGTCAACAAACAAACGATCAGCCGTACCTGACGGAAATACTCCAAATAAACCTCGGCCCAAGAAAACGTGAAACGATGATAGAAATACGCGTTCACGAAGATCTCTTTTCTCTACTCCAAAGGTTGGAAAAGTTTGATTTTATTTGTCGCGGAAAGAGTACCATCTAACCCCATACATTAATTATGCATTCCACTTCGTTGTCTTTCACAACAAAACTTTAAAAACAAAGTCTACTGGTCTGAATGCTGAAGTAATGTATGGGGTTATATCAGATGGGGGTATATGGTACTCTTGCAACTTGTCGTAGACCAATTTATTTAAATCTTGAATCATAATCTTTAATTTTTATGTGCATTTCAGGCCCCTTCACCCTCGTTCAGAGATTCAAAATTTTAAATGATATGCAAATCCTTCAGTTTCAAAAACTGAACATATTTTAACCGTCTTCCAAAAAGTGAAGATTGTCCACCAATTTCTTTCTTTTATCTTTGTATTTCCAAGAGCGAAATTCTCGACAGCAAAATTTTCATTCGGTAGAGAGCACATCCTCCACCTTTCCAGTTGAGAAGGAATCGTTGCGAGCCCACCAAGCTCACAGGTACTTCTTTCAAATGAAAGTTTTCTTTTTTTATTTTCTTGTTTTATTTTTTATCATTGTTCTGGATGTTTCATTTTCTCCGTAATCCTATGTAACTATTCAAAAACGAGGTCGGGTAGTGTGTAGATCAATATGGGGCATTAACCAGGTACATACTTCACTGTACTTTTTTTTGTGTTTTGCGTATATTTAATCATTTTTGTAAAATGTGTCTGCTATAGGAAATTTTAATTTTCAGTTCTATTAACGTCTGTAGTGTTTTGCAGAGTATAACTGTCATCCTTTATCAAAGAAATCTGCTGGCTGTTTATGTTATCAATAGAGATTCCACGCTCCACAAGGTCACCAGCTCCTTCAACCATAATCTTGCATTAACTGACATTGCCATGGCAACCATATACATGCCTTTTTGGGTTGTGAGTATATATACGGGAACTTGGAATTTCAGCCAAGTGTGATGTCAATTAACCGCGTTCGGATTTCGACTACTGTGAGTTATGCCTCAATATTAACTACGGGACTGATAGCCCTAGATTGATACACAACAGTCGTAAAACGTAGGCTTCACGGGACGCTATTCTCCACCAAAAGAGGGGCTAAATTGTAATGTGTTCTAGTTTGGCTGGTTGCTATACTATTCGCCACACCTCCAATGTACGGTTATGGAAAATACCAGTATCATTTTAAATTCTCTGCTTGTTCCTTTAGCTGGCACATAAACCATATTGCATACGTCCTATTAACAGCAAGATTTCTCCTGAATGGGATCCCACCATTGCAATAATAAATTCCTAACATAAATTGAAAAGCGCAGAAACTATGAACGCCCATGCTGGACAGAACGCAATCAACGGAGTCAATGCTATGAATCACAATCGTACGGACATAAAAATGTTGAAGACATGTTTCACTGTAGTTTGTTTCTTTGTAATGGCATGGATCCCAACTTCCATAGTGGTATTTTTGGACACTTTTGAGTATAACATTCCACGGGAGGTTTACACAAAGGGCGCTTATCTAGTATTTTCGAGTAGTCTGGTAAACCCATTTATCTACGGGATTATAGATCCACAGTTGAAACTGGCCTTTAAGACTGAAGACAATAAGTTGTGGCCGTAGTGGTCCCAATTCACCCGATTTAGGCAAGGACAGCCTTCCTTGAAGACTATCAAAAATAACTTTAGAGCAAATGAAGGTCTAAAATAGAAAAAAATTTTGATCCCATGCAAAAACTTTGTGGCGAGGTATGTGAAAACCTCAAAGAAAACTAATATATTATTAAACAACAACAAACATATGAAACATATGTGTGAACCGCGTTTCTTCGGAAGCCCCTATTTGTTTGTTTTTCTAACTCGTGGTTTACGTATTTTAGTTCGTTTAGGAAAAGCATGTAAAATTATCCTTGGAGGGCCATATGGCTCGAAGCTGCATCTATTTGAATTTTTTTATGGATGATATGTTTTAAAAGGATGGATTTCGTCTTTAAGGTCACTTGGTCCTTAACTTACGAATTGAAACAAGTATAGTAGAAGGAATTTTTCAATTAGTCTGTTCAATTTGAATTATTGCAGGGTAAGCTGAAGGTGCAAGACATAGACAACAGCAAAATAGATATCTCCATCGAATCCAAACTCTTAGTCCAAAACAATAATGTGTCAAACAACAAAGTCCTGAAGGCGTACAAAGACTGTGATCTAAATGCTCTCTTTATTTTCATATCCCTTGGTTACTTAATTATTCAAATTCCATGAGATTTTGATGTCCAAATTCTAAGTTCTTCCCCTCAATAAGCTACTCTGTTTTCCTTCCTCTGAATCGCACCCCATTGATTGCACTGAGCTCGCGACCTTTTTGAGGCCCTGCAAAATAAAGGAACATAATTTTACAGTTATCTATGAATAATTTAATCAATAAATCTGTTATTCCGTCAGTCAGTCAGTCAGCCAGTGAATGAGTGAGTAAGTCAGTTAGTCATTCAGTCGGTCAGTCAGTCAGGCAGGCAGTCAGTCAGTCAGTCAGTCAAATAGTCAATAATCGTCAATACATCAACGGCTTCATTATTACATCGATCTTTAATTTCTTGTAGGCTTTCCTCCTCCATCCATCCATCTACCCACCCTTCCCTCAATCCATCACGTAATCAATGTTCCGCCCACTTAACTGCTACTTCATCCACTCAATTAGGGATGGTCGATCAATCAATCGGTTACCTTCAGGGGGATAGCTTATTTCCCACGTTTTGACGGAAGAAACCATTGACGTTTCCTGTCGGATAGTAGCGAGCCACAATGTAGATTTTTTTTGACTGTCCTGATCCGGTTGAAGTTTGCGCCACTCCAACGGATGTAGTTGCTTTCCACACAACCTGAGGATGGCAGATACGAGTCATTTTAACAAAGACTTAATTTTGTCAGGAGGTGGTTGAATAGTCATGAGATTTCGGCTGACACATCTCGCAAATTGGAGTGTGTCTGGAAATATTTAAAAGGACTAACTGGTTGTAATAACATTGTGATTCACAAATCGGCTAAAAACTATTTAATTTGAATATATCAACAAAGTTGAAATGGTAAATTGGCTACCGTTACGATTATAAAAGTTGACGTTTCGAGCGTTAGCCCTTCGTCGGAGCGAATAGAGGAATTGTGGGTTGTGTGTTCTTTTAAAGGCAGAAAAAGGAGCTACGCGATTGGTGGGAAAAAAAGGAATCCGGAATCTAGGCTAAAAACTATTTAGCCTAGATTCCGGATTCTGAATTTCGAATTGTTTTTGATTGGGCTCGGTTGGTTCGTTGATATGTATTTGATGAAGTGAGGAATTTTTGTAGCCAAGTCTCTGAGCGTCCAGGTCTGCTAACCTCTCAGCTGTAGCTCATTTCCGAGCTTTAGTCGTGTTGAGAGACTTTCGATGAGATATGTTACTTTACCATTGAGTTCTGTTCGCCCTTTGTTCGACGAGAAAAATAATTCTGTTCCGTTACGGAAGGATTACAAATGATCACAATGATATCTACAAATAAGGTTGGGAGTTTACCTGCGTAAAGTGACCTGTTTGGGTTGTAAATCCAGGATTGTTATAGTCGTATTTTGGCTCCTCATTGTCATACCTAAAAAGGTGGATGATGCGGTTTATTTTAGTTTCAGGCAAGGAATTTATATAACTTCTATGTAGCTGTAATGTTTCTGCAGGTAAGCGAAGTTCAGTAAATATTAAAATTCTCATTTCAAAATTAATTACACCTAAAACGTCATATACTTTTAGAACTACAATCAGTAGCAAAAGTGTATGCACGTTCTACAGCTATTTGAATTTGTCTATAATTTTCATTCTTCTTATCTCTCCCCCATTTCACGGTTGCTTAGCGTTAACAAAATAGATTTCACTTATCTCAGGAAACATTGTTTTTGGGGAAAGGGGAGACTTTCAAAAAATCATCCTGAATTGAAAGATTTCTGTCTATCAAGCTGAGTGGAGGGTTGTTGGCCACCTAATAAGGAGAAGCGTTCCAACTACTTTTGTAGTTTCGAGCTATTGACAGACTCTACTCGTAATATTTGGACAATTCTGGAGTTTTCGGCCTACTAAAGTATGTGCGAAAGATGTGAATTCACTGCCTTTTTCCGGCTGACTGGAGCATCATCCCCTTCTTTTTGAGAGGCAGGCGTAGAGCAACGATTTTAAATAAAAGTAATATAAGAAGCATTCTTTTAAAAGACTTTCTATGTAATAGAAGATAAATTTTCATATCAGAACTGCCTTACCATCCAATCAAGGCATCAGCACAATCAGCAGAGTCATGTCCCTGAAAAAAGGCTATGTTTTCTCCTTCACCATTGCGGTCTGGATCATGTTCAATGACAGCGTTAGCCGCTAAGTGATCCGCCCAAACCTGAGCGTGTTGCACCAAAGTGTTATTCCAGACAAGCGGATCTGTCCCGTGCAGAGCACGCCTGTCGTTGTGTCCCTTCAAACAGGGATTTTCTGTAGAAAATGCAAAAGGACGATGAGTTATTGTCTTTAAAGGTCACGCGCTTCGAAAGAAGCAGTTTTCTTTGACCCTTTCCACGAAAAATGTGTTCTTATCCCAGGGTGTAACTCATAAAATAAAAATAAAATAAATAATTTATTTAAAGTCGATAATGTAAAAGTGGTTGCTCAACCTTGCGAGCCGGTGGCTCTTTTTAAAAACACTCGACTCCGGATGGAATTGGAATCTGGAATGTTGCTTTTTGTGGAGAGGGGAAAACCGGAGGACCCAGAGAAACGCCCTCGGTGCAAGGACGAGAAACAATAACAAACTCAACCCACATGTGACGCTAGGTCCGGGAATCGAACCCAGGCCTGAGTGGTGGGAGACGTGCGCTTTCACCACTGCGCATTCCCTGCTCAAGCACATTTTAAGGTTCATGTGTCCATATTTTACCAGTGATGCATTAAGTCAAAGGAATGAAATTATTTTGCTTGCACAATTTTAATTGAATAAGTCTCTGGAAAATCTTCGTAGACATGTAAAAAATAATTACATCTGATATCAATGACCTACGGAGAGTTGCAATTTTTCATGTAAACAGTTTCTTAAATCAGTATTGAAACTCTTATATCTAGAAGAAGAAAACTGGTTTTATCACAAAGAAGTAAAATATCTGCAATACCAGGGGGAGTCGGAAGAGCCGTTGTGACCGGCGCATTCGTGGTTGAAGGATTTGCAGAAGTGCTGGGTGAGTCAGTTGTTGAGGGACTATTCGTGGTGCTTGGTTCCTCCGTGGTAACAGGGCTAGCTGTAGTACCTGGTGCAGGAGTTGTGCCTGGGGCAGCAGTGGTACCTGGTGCAGAAGTAGTGCCTGGTGCAGCAGTGGTACCTGGTGCAGCGGTTGTCCCAGGTGCAGCAGTGGTACCAGGTGTAGCGGTGGTACCAGGTGCAGCGGTGGTACCAGGTGCAGCGGTGGTACCAGGTGTAGCGGTGGTACCAGGTGCAGCGGTGGTACCTGGTGCAGCAGTGGTACCTGGTGCAGCGGTAGTACCAGGTGCAGCGGTGGTGCCTGGTGCAGCAGTGGTACCAGGTGCAGCGGTAGTACCAGGTGCAGCGGTGGTGCCTGGTGCGGCGGTGGTACCTGGTGCAGCAGTGGTGCCTGGTGCAGCGGTGGTGCCTGGTGCAGCCGTTGTGCCTGGTGCAGCAGTGGTACCTGGTGCAGCAGTGGTACCTGGTGCAACAGTGGTACCTGGTGCAGCGGTGGTACCCGGTACAGCAGTGGTACCTGGTGCAGCAGTAGTGCCTGGTGCAGCGGTGGTGCCTGGTGCAGTGGTAGTTATTGGGTTGGCTGTGGTGACAAGATTTGTAGTGACTGGCTCCGTTGTAGCTGGCTCTTAAAAAAACAATCCAAGCAAAAAGGCCGCAAGGGGACCATTGGCAAGATATCATTAAAAGTTTAGATCTTCTTCTCAATGTTGAATCTCCTTTGTAAATTATAGAAGTGATGAAATGGAAAATAGCGTAGAGGATCAGTTCAGTAGTTATGCAGGACAAATGTTAATTTAAGGCTTACGTCATATAACTATAAGATACTCCTGTTTAAAGAATTTATTTTCTCCTTTGAAGCTGTAACAGTGGATAACATCAATTTGGAAAAGTTTCTTTGCGATACACCAATGAACGGACGAATAGTGTACTGGAATCTATTTTTCTACATAATTGGGAACCAATGAAATACCAATCATTCCGTCATCTATATGTTTCCTCTCAAAGACTATAGGTATGGACCAATCACAAAGTATGTGAAAGGAGAATATTACGTTGCAACTTACGGACACAAAATCCGCATGTTGTTTGACAATGAAGCAACATGTATTGGTAGTAATAGCTGCTGGGGCTACAATAACCATAACTTTTCCAGTCCGAGCAGGATGCATCTGCATCAGGCGAACAGTCTACAGAAAGAAGGTGATGAAATAAAAAGGACAAGAAAGGAAAAATAACTCAACAGAACCGCTGCCAACTAAATATACTTATTACAAATACCCAGAGTACTAGTATTTAAATCATAGAGGTGAACATTTTACGTACGCTTCTGCAAGAACTCTGCAAAATAGTTTAATCTATTGACTCAATTCCTGGAACCTGGAGCTTTTATCCCAAGCTTCATAAAAAAGAAATTTATTCCATTTCCATATTCTTAGTTGGATTGTATTTTACTCACTACACACGCTGCATGTGGCCGGGCAGTTGGTGATCATGTATTGATAGTAAGAGCTTCCTTGTTGGCAGTATCCTTGACTGCCCCAGTAACTGCAATAATGATTTAGATCCCTGCACGCTAGCATAAGGAGAGAAGACACAATTATATCTTAAAGGAGGCTAGATTTTTTGAAACTTAGTGTTTGTGATTGTAAAAAAAAAATGAACCTGGAGTCAATCTCTCTTATTCCAGACTCCTTTTCTGGAGGGTATAGTCTGGGTTTTTATTCGTTTAGGACCATACAGACACGTACAAGCCATTTAAACCTCATTTTTGACTAGATTACTCACTGATTTTTTAAAAATCTTGACGAGGCCAGAGAGGTTACTTACATTTGTAAAGAAAAAATAACACATAGGTTCACAAATTCTGAGGCAAGTCTATCTGTAGCTGTTTAGAGTACAAGCAAAGATTATTGTTTATCAAACTTGAATTTCATGGCCCTTCCTAAGAAAAAGTGTAACAAATTGCGAGAGAGCAGTAAAGGTACCCTACTGAAAAATTTCTGCAGGATCCTTCCAGAGTATGGAGTGGAAGACATTCCTTCAAGTGATTTCGGCAAGAGAAAGAAAGGCTGCCGCAAGGCGAGTGTAAAATTGAAACTCTGCATAGCGTAGCAGTTCTATTTCTTGTCATTCTCGTCTTGCCCTGTCAATGGTTCGTCCCTAAATCTGTTACTAAACCAACCTCCACAAAGGCCGCATGTGAACTTGCAGTACGTTCTCATTGAGTTGTAGTAATAGCTGCCTGGTTGACAGTATCCCAATCTTTTCCAATAGCTGCAATAATGATACCAGTCAGCGCAATCTGTTTACAAGATAAGGAAAAATTGTTACTCTAACTGAACAATGGAGTGAGTTTCTTAAGAAGCTGTGTTGCTAGGCCGGTTGGGGGTTTTGGAGGATAATTCAGTTTGATCAGCTGAGTTGATAAAGTAAATTTCCCGCTGCCGTAAAGAGTGCCAATCGTTGACCCTTCGTCTTTTTCCCCGACAAAAGACCAACACTTTAGACGTCAGCCTCTGAATCTCTTTACGGTGGCCAATTTTAATCATCAACTCGGTTGAAAAACCAAATTATTTTGTTATCATGACTTTCCCCTTCTCTTGGCATAAGCACTGGACATCTATAGGTCGGGTTTTTTTGGGAGATGACTTCCGCTCAGATTGTTTAAATGTCAGTCACCGCCACCGACAGAAGTCCTTCTCAGGATTACACTCACCTTGACGCCTCGCACTACACTTTCACATACTAATGGCCTAGCCATTCTCTTAGCCATTCTCAGGATTACACTCACCTTGACGATCGCACTACACTTTCACATACTAATGGCCTAGCCATTCTCTTTGTTTCGCATTATTGACACCATATAATAATGTCTTCAAATGATTATATTCTCTCTTTTTTCCTGTCCTATTTAAGTTTTATATTGTATATTGAAATGCTTGTATATATGTTTACTCTCCCTCCTATTTTCAAAAACCTCGTAACTATTGAGTTGGCACTGTCGTATTTTCCTTGGATTTAATTTGAACTTTTATCTTTTCTAGTCGACACCGTTG